ACATACATAATTAAATGCATACATACATTCATATTTGCATACATACAATTTTACCAGCTTCATTGAAAGCAGTAATCCTATTATACGCCTATTCGACCGCTTTATTTGGTCAAATCTAGACTGAAAATCAAAAAGTTCATCAAAGATTTTGATACTTTATTTATGTGGAAAAAAACTAAAGCACCCGAAAACGGTTCCTCGGCATTTTCAGTGGCGGAAAAACAACAACAATTAACCGCTTCAAAGCGTTGATAACAAAGCAATTAGGCGAAATCAATATTTCCTTCTTAAAACCGACCAGTCTACGCCTAATGCTCGTTTTCACTAAATAAAAATGGAGATAAGTTTACTTCCGTGGCGAAATCAAGACTCGTCAAAGTTCGTCGATTTTGAATTTTTTGTAGTCTTTCTTTTTACTAGCCACATGTAAGTGTTTTTCAACTTCGATTAGTCTTTTTTTTTGAGGAGCTTACGGCACCTGTAAAATTTTCAGCCGGTAGTTCAACTTTTTTTTAACTTGTTTTGAATGGAGCTAAATGAGAAAGTAAAATACTTAACTAATCTCTCATTTTCTCCCGTATGATTCGCACATACGCAACGAAAAATTGTTCGCATGATCTGCTTCAAAAGGAAATTTGATACCATTACTAAATTCTTTTCTGATAACAAAATACTAACAGTTCTTGAGCTATATGTGTACGATTTGATGAAGTTCTGTTTACGATCACTAAATCAAAAACATCCAAATTGTTTTCTCACTTCTTTGTTTACTTTTGATAATTTTGCCTATAATACGCGAATTTCAGAAGGTGGAACATTTGTTCCACCATTCTGTAAAAATAAGGTATAATCATGTTCTTTGACTAGTAGGGGTTCAAAGTTATTGAATATTTTGAGTATAAATAAGCTGTTACCTGAAAATATTGGATTGATGGCAAAAATGAAGAATACAGTTCGTCCATTAATTTAAAGATAATTTCTTTTGTGGCAATTACGAGTTGGTGCAAAACATATTTCTTTGAATTTTTATTTTTTTAATTGGTACCCGCTATTTGAATGCTATCAAACAACCATTCTAGGGTTGCGATTCTATGCAGAAATTATGACCCTCCAAATCCTTGTAGTTTTCGAGATTTCGCATTTTTTTTGAAAATTAAAAAAAAATTAAAAAAACGTAATTTTTTTTTCATATTTACTTCTCATACTCTTAGTTCGTCAGCTGGAATGAGAATTGGCCAAAATGACAGTAAGAGATGCAATATTTATTCCTCAATGATGGCTTAATTTAACGGGAAAATTAATTTTCCCCCACAATCCTATATTTATTCGAATGTAAATTTATCTTTATTACTTAGTTGCAATAATAATTTGTTCAATGCGTAGACGTCAAGTAGGCACATACTGCGCCTTTTGTCTATCCCCTCCATTTTGTTGATTTAATAGTTTAAATAAATTGATGCTTGTATTATCAACTATATGGAGAAATGAATGCTTCTTCTTCTAAATTTTTTTAGTATATCGTATCCGAAGATCGTTTTGAAGTACCAGTACCTGGTAAATCTTGTTCCTCGTTTTGGTTTTGACTTCAATCGTCTGAAGAATTAATACAGAAACTTTTTGAGTCCAAGGTACAAGTGTGATTGAGGGGTCCCATGAAACTAAAAAGTTCCATAATGTAAATGCAATGCGTCAAAATTGTTCGATTGATTGCTTGGGCGATGACAACCAAAGCATAAAAATATTTAGGGCAAATGAGGCAGGTTATCTACAGTTGAGAAAAAGTCTGGAAATGATCGAGTGGCGTTCATTGTTATGTTTCAATTGCTATATTTGGTTTTTACTGGGACGCCTTAAATTCACTTGTACCCAGTTCAATTTTAATAGTTCAGTTTTAAATGTTTTGCTTAAAAATAAATCACAAATTAAGGTCAGAGTTCTAAAGTTGATATTTTTTTCTTACCGTAACCTAGCTGTCTACTAATCAAGTAATGGCTACAAGAAAACCTTATTTTTATTCAAACTGGGTTAGTTAGTGTTTTATGAATCATATAATAGCTCCAACAAACGTTTTGACATTCAGACCGAATAACTTGCAGTATTAAGGGGAAAGCTCTAAGAAAGAATAAAATTTTACCGACCCGGTAACTTAATAATCTAGTTCAGAAAATTTAATTTTTGTTCAAACTGAAACAATAAGTGCTATATCTAAAAATATAATAGCTCCAACAAGTGCTAAGACATTTCAGACCGGATAACTTAGCGGTGTAGTATTGAAGGGACGGCTTGAAGATAGAATAAAACTTACAGTCTCGGTAACTTAGCAATCTAATAATTCAGAAAACATTATTTTTGTTCAAACTGGATCAATTAGTGCTATATTCAAAAATATAATAGCTCCAACAAACGTTAGGACATTTCAGACCGGATAAATTAGCGGTATAGCATTAAAGGCAAAGCTCCAAGAAAAAATAAAACTTTACAGTCTCGGTAACCTAGCAATTTAGTATTCAGAAAAGGGGAAGCTCCAAGGAGTGATAAGATCATAATACTTAAAGGTCCCGAAAACTCAGCAATCTAGTATTTAGGTTTATATTTTTACCCTTGCGATAAGCAAGGGTATTACAATCGGGTACTGACTTTTTTCCCGTAAACAACTTTGTCCACAGGATGACTGAAATTTGTGGTCATCTCCAAATAATTTCTACCCAACTAATTATACCCAACTTGCACGTCTAACATCTGTAATTCAACAGCTGGTTTCAGCGACTGAAATGATAATTGTCTTATAGCTGAAAAATTTTTCGGATGTAGGTTGATTTTTTTTGTCGTCTTCATTAATTTTGACCTAATTGGCTTACTAGGCGGGTAATTAGTTCTGTAATTTTTTGATAGGTTTTTGAAGTGCTTTCGTTCTTCATTTTCACGAGGAAAAATATAGTTGATAGTTTATTCGTTTTAATAGGCTCCAAAATTTTTCTGCTGAAATTTTTCGTGTAAAAATCTTTCAGTTTTTTTCGGATGCATGGTTTCTGATTTTTTTTCTTCTAAAAATGCGTGAAACTAACTTAATTTCGAGTTAGATAAATGTATTTTAGGTGTGAGCAGTTTTATTTGAAATCGATGGAAGCTGATGGCTTAACGTATTATTTCAATGTGTCAAAAAAATTGATATATTTCCAGATTGCTTTGCAAGATTGACTCGACTGTTTTGTCTGCAAAGGAATGTGCCGCAAGCTTTGCACGAGATCCAGGGGTGTGATTCTTTCTGAATGAAATTTCTTTTGTTGACTGTTTTTTTATTTCCTTTGTTGGCGCTCTTTTCTGTTTTTTTTGTTGTTGTGATCTACTTTTTTTTACCGTTGCGAATAATTTTCATACTTGATAATTCTTGGTGTAATTGGGTTATTTTCATAGGTTTTCAGAGTTTTTTCCGATTTCTGGCAATTTTTATTCTGTGGCAATTATTTGCAATTCTTGCTGTCATGTTTTTGAAATTTCGATTTTCGTTTTTTTTTATGGTGGTCTCATACTAAAGCAATTACCGGAGAGGGCCTTTCACCCCCGATTGTTCTGGTTCGATATGCATATTATTTGGTTGCAAGATTTATTGAACAAATTTTGAGTATATTTGGGATTTTTTTGTATCTCAATTTTTCAATTGAAAGGTTTTCTTATCATTTTCATCTGTTGGTTATCAGAATGAAAAAGATTAGCCCAGAATGGATAAGCCCAGTAACAGGATAACAGTTAAGCCCAAATACTTCCTTTCTTTTGAAGGTAATTGATTTCTTTAAAATTTGCAACAAAATTTTTCTTGATTTTTCAGCCCACGATATTTTCATTAAAATTCGTTCAAGTTCGAGATACATTTTTTTTGGTTTTTTCGCGCTTTATGGTGTATCGCAAGTGGTTCGAAACTCAGCTCTCCCTCTGTTTGAAAAATGTTGCCTTTTTTCCGACGGGGGATCTAAATGGGATCTAGTAATAAGAAAAAAACTCCGAAAAAAACGTGTAGAAATTTTCAGTCTTATTTTTATGGGGTCTAGTAATGAAATACTAGCTCTGAGAAAATTTAAATTATTCACGCCGAGTCAGTAATTAGTCTAGTAAAAAGATCATCTCTTTAATAAATATTTAGTTTTCGTAGACTGGGAAATTTCACGGTCAGAAAATCAGTTGATAGCCTCAATAATTATTAAAGCTATCAACTTATTTTCTGACCGTGAAATGTCCCAGTACACAATAAGTGTTTAGCAGACCGCGTTTTCTGTAAGAACCAATCACTTACAGAGCCAGAGCTTAGTTTGAATGCGGTATTGGCAAGAAGCGAACGTTTGTTCCGCTGCGCGTACATCCAGCACGAAAGTATTTGAGGGCGTAAATTTTTGTCGCTTTATTTGTTTGTTCTGTTCAGCTTTTCCTTCTAACTAACTTTGAGAGAACTGGCTGAATTACTAAAGCTCAATCCCAGTCTACGCACTTTTTTAGTCAATCAGTTATGCGTCAATAATAGCTTCCTCCACTAAGTTCTCAATCAAAGTTATATTTTGTCATTTGTGGTAAGAAACCGGTCTGCGAAAAAACTGATCACCGCTAAGATTTAACCGACTTGGTAGTTAAGTGTTCTAGTAATAAGGTATTAGCTTGCCAAAGATAACAAGTTTTCAGAGCGGATAACATAGCGGTTTACTGATAAGATAATAGCCCCAAGAAAAACTTAAATTTTTCAAACCATGATTCATTTTTTTTTTCAGATCAACCGAACAATCTCATATTTTCTCCTTTCTAAGTTGATTTGTGGAATTTTTCACGGTTGATCCTTCTTTCCAATTTGCTTGAGGCAAATCCATTTAAAAAACTTTTAAAAAATTAATTGTGTGAATAGATGAAGTTTTTTTATCTCAGAGTTATTTTTTGAAAAACAGTTCGGCGGGCTTTAAGAGCACAGTTTTCTTGAAAAAAATGCCCAGAGAATAGTTAAAGCGCAAAAATAGGTTCTTTTTATTGTTACCAGAAACAAAATGTATTTAAAACATCTTAATGCTTTTAGCCCTAGATAGAATAACTTGGCACTCTTCTTTTGGAAATTACACAAACTCGATTAGATTTTAGGATATCAGTGATTTCTAATTTAGAATGACACTCCAATGTTAGCAGGATGCTTTGCGGAAATTTCTACGAACATTGTTCTGAGTTGCAGTCCATCTACAGCTTCCAAGAACTGTCCTCTGCCCAATCTGGCCATTTCCTTTAGTTTCTCAAATTGGATAATTCCAAATCCCAGAGTGTAGACATCGAGACCATTGGACACACAGTATTTCCTGGCTAGTTGTTCCATTTCAACTTCTCCATTGGAACTTCCTCCGTCAGACATGAAAATCAAGACAGGCTTGATGTTTTCATCCAAATGGCTTCCAATTATTTGATCAGCAGTGTTGAGAGCTATGCTAAAATCCGTACCTCCGCTCATGAATGTCAGCCAGTTTCTAGAAAATGAATTAATTGGTTCATACTCAGCCGCTATTTTGGCGTTAGAATTATAAATTACAATCGACATCCTGTCTGTTGATGATGATAAAACTAGTCGCTGGGCTACAAAAACTCGAACTGCTCCAATGACATCATCCCAAGGTTTTCCGGTCATGGATCCCGAAGCATCGAGGCATAGAACAAAATGATATATTCCTGAGGGATGCTGACATGGGAATACATGTCCATCTTTCGTGAGGAATCCAGACATGCGAGAAATTTCCGCCATAGAAGTTACAGGGTTATGCCAAAGGGGCTTTTCACAAAATATTTGTTCTTCTTCTTCCTCGTGCATTTCAGCAGCGCAGTACGCAGGACACTTCTGGAAGTCCTCGGCATCAATCTCTTGACAGGGATCCTCGAACCCAACGGACGCCCAATAAGCTTTATGAGTGATTTCGTCTTTGGGTTTTTCTGGGTTCGGATGGTATCTTGTAGACTCATGGCGTCTTTGATCCTTTCTTGCACTATAGATACAAGCAGTCGAATCTTCGCTGTCGCATTCAACTATGTGAATGTGTCCTCGTCCAAGAGATTTGCAAAACACGTGACATATTTCAGCAACTGCTGGCTCCCCCACTTTGTATTTGTGAGTTCCAACTTGAATTTCATCTTCGTTTGCGACGAAAAAGCATTTTCGCATGTTACCATGTCTGGTACGGTGCAAAGTGTCTCCATTGTTTTCATGGTTGGCTGCTTTGTTGCAGAAGTTCTCACATGTTGGGCAGATAGTCGTGCAGAAGTGAACTTCTTTTGAACATGAATGACCTCCATCGTGCCTTGTTGTGAAAGGTTTCAACTTCTGGCGACATTTCTCCTTCTTGCCCATTTCTGCAAATTTGACGTTGTAAGTAAAAGTATCTCTCTCACCCTCAAAGGTCTCGTCTTCGGGTTGCTTTTCAGTCCATACACGACAATTGCCGTCATGCTCGCACTCTTTGTCACATTGGTGTTCTTTTCCGCAGAAATGTTCTGCACAGTCATATTGCGTCTCCCCATCTTCCAGAAGAAACGCGGGCTCGTCCGCCATACCTTGTTCCTCCTTAAACTTACTCGAGGATTTGGTTCCATGAAAATGGTCCAAAGCCGCACACTTATTTGTGCATGTGGGAAGGGAACACTTGTTAATGCATTGTTCCTTAGTGCACTTATGAACAGTGTGGTCTACGTCACAGTCAATGATGCAACGTCCGTCGCAGCCATCTAGAGTGCAAACTTCTTTACAGGGATGTCTTTTCTCCGAACACGCATGTTCGTCTTCATGGCCAGTGATTTTCTGACATTCGCCATCACAACCGTTTAACTCGCTGAACTTACAGGACTCGCTACATACATGATTGATGTACATCTCTCTGCACACGTGTTTACCATCATGGCCGAAAGGAATTTTACACTTGTTCATGCCAAATTCACAGTATTCGCATTGGGCCGCGCAAAGGTGGCTAGTCGAGCACTTATGGCCGCTTTTGTGGTTGGCAATTTGTGTACATTTCAAAAAACATTCAGTGCATTTCTCCTCGCAAAACTTATATGTCTGCTCAAAACATGTCTTTCGATTTTCAAGGTTCTCCATGACAATATTTATGACGTCATCATACTCCGCATTATCTCTGGAAGTCCATATTTGGAAGTTGGCGTCAAGCCATTGCTTAATTCGCTCAAATCTGAATATTATAGTCTCCCTTAAGAAGTTTTGGAGGCCACTACGCCACTCGACAAAGTTTTCACAATTGGGCTCCATTATGGCCAAGAACTGCATCACAGTGTTCTCAAGTTGGTTTTCTTTGAAGACAGTGTCGAAATCATTCAGTGTTACGTTTCCCACTCCGGCTAAATCGATTTCTTTCTCAAGTGGGATCCTAAACGTCGAGTCGTCAAAGCTCTTCAAGTCCAATTCTTTTTTCTTGGGACTTTCGTCGGATATTTGTCCAAGATAGATAGCAAAGTTCAGCATAGATCTTATGGATTGCGCTCTTTCATCTATTTGTTGACGGTCTAGGGGTGAGAAATCACTGATGGCCAGTTTTGCCATTAGTAATTTAACAGTTTCTAAAAAGTCTGGCCCTGAAGTGAAAACCGGCCTAATTTCTTCCAGCACTATAGAGAGAAGATTTGAAGTACTCTCGTAATATTCGCGGCTCTCAAATGCTGGGAACGCCATTATTTCGAAGTCACTGTTGTATAGGTTCTCGATGAAGTTTTTTTCACTCTTTTTTACAATGTTGCTGATTTTTTCCTCGAACTCTTTTGGGGTGTCCTTGACATCTTGTTCTGCGACATCGTTAATGACAATCATGAACTTCCCTTTAAACACTTTTTCATTTCCTTTAAGCTGATCGCTTCCCATGTTGATCTTGTTGAACATTTTGTCGACATCTCTGTCGAGTCTTTTGTCGGTTTTAAAAATAGTAGTAGTCGAAATTGCGCTGTTGAACAGGGATAAAAGCATGTCATCTTGTTCAGTTCTCTCGAAGCTACCAATTCCTTCGAAGTCTAAGATGACGTAGAGACAATCATCTTGCTCTTTCACGGTCATCCAGCATCCGTCTGTACATCTGGTTCCGGCAATATTGAATGAGGATCCTGTCAGATGGTTAAGGGTATAGCTCTTCCCTGTCGTTTGCTTGCCCATTGAAGATATGACTTTAATATTTCCAGGCCATGCCCTAAAAATGCTCTCATAGAATCCATAATTGATTTTTCCCATTAAATCAAAAACTTCATTGACAGAATCCAGAGATACGGGCTGACCATTATCCAAAATGGAAAATTGATTAGACTGGCACCGCGCAATTTGAATCGGGACAAAAGTTATTAGGCGTTTAAGGAAAGTACCCATAGGTATTCCAGATACTTCAATATCTGTGATGCCGGAGAGCGATTCCTCAAAATCTTTTTCGCGAAATTTCAAATAGTCTGTTGGTTTTCGAGTTTTCTGGATCTTTCTCAAAATTCGTCTTATTTCTTGAGAAATTTTTGACTGGATGTCGGAACTGTTTTTCCCAACAGTAATCCAGAAGTTGTTGACAGCTTGGTTCGATGCCAAAAGATCGTTGCAAGGAAACTTTGTGTACATCCAGTAAACGTAATTGATCCAATGTTCTTTGATGCCCCCAGTGTTCATTTCTAATCCCTCGGTTTTCTGGTGGTCCAAAGATGATTTGCTAAGTTTTGTTTCATGCTGAGCTCCCGTAACTATTATCTGATGAATAGAAAGGTAGGAGTCCAAAGAAGTCACAGCCAGGATCTGGTTGCATAGCGAGAAGATAGCAACATCTCTGGACAAGCCTTCGACTCTTGGTAGCGTATTTCCAGTGTCTGTCATAACAGGCCATGCATCGTCATCGTCTTTGATGGCAACCACACAAGATCCTTCTGAAGTGCATTTAAGTGTTGTTTTACCAACGCCGTCCAATTTGATAGCTTCAACCATGGCACTGTTTTTGTAGTCAATTTTACGGATTCTGCCATCGCTCTCAAACCAGAAAAATTTACTATTTGGCTGCAAACACAACGCCACGATTTTCTCAACGCCAAACAGTTTGTTCAAATCAACTAGTCTTAAATTGTGTCGCGAGCTGAAACCTTCTTCGAACTTAAACATATGCACAATTCCAGGGTCAATGATCGATTGAATAGCCAAGACTCTTGACTTGTAGTCGAAGGACGCCGAGCTCACATTTTTACCAAATGGCATGTCTAAAACGGGTTTATTGACGTTCGACAGATTATGCACAACGGTTTTTGATAGTTTTTCGACATTGCAAACCAATAAAATCAGGTTGTTTTCCAGTGGGAAGGCGTTAAGAAGTTCCTCAGTTTCTGGAAACTCTAGTGTTGCAATTTGTGGGAAATCCAGCTGGCTGATATCTAGGACATCATCCGATGTCGCAAGACGCTGATGTTCCGCGCGACTAACAGTCATGTGATGTATCTCAATCCTTGTTTTTGCAGGCTCAAGTGAAATCTTTTCGTACAAGCATTGATATTTGGCTGAGACATTCGAATAGCCAACTAAATCCCTTATTTGTCGAACTTTAGCCAAATTAATTTGATCAGTGTCTCTGCGTTCAACTTTTTTCTTCAGGAAAGTTTCATAGAAAAATTGTTGAATGCGTTGGTCCAATTTCTGTTTCTTAGTTTGGTCAAGTTTGCCCTGCACTTCTTGACGACAAAACGTTACGAACTTGGCTTTCTCGCTGTATAGCTGGACAAGATTACACATCCATTCAATAAAAATGTCTATGCATGTTTTGGCTAATTCTGGCAGGTTTGAATAATCCAGTTTGGCTTCACAATTTTTCATTTGGCTGTCAAGGTTTTTTGTGGCTCTAGATTGGAGCACTCTAGAAATGCTGCTATTGAAACGTTTAATGGCGCAGTCTCTGATGTCATTCCAAGATGTATCAGAAAATTCTTTTTCAAGAAACGCTTCAGGCAAGCCTCCATTATCTTCTAATGCTTTCCAAAGCAGAAATTTATCCAGAGCAAACTTATTTTCATTTTCGTCCGATTTAATTTCTTTTTTCAAAGATGTTTCATCCTCCTTTGAAAGTGGTCCGTTTATTGAGCGACTGGAAAAATTGATTCGATTTTTCCCCAAATCATCATTTTGAAGAAGAGAAGAATTTGAAGTGAAATATTTTTTTACTACTTCAAATTGTATTTTCGAACCACAAAGTTCGACGAAGTGTAGAGCAACCGAAGTTAGGACGCTATCATTAGTGCTTGTATCTTCTAGTGGTCGAATTGATTCAATTTTCTGTGCAATTTCCGATTCGAACTCCTCGAACTTCCTCGGGAAAAATGTCTTCGTGTAGTCACTTTTGAAAGCATCGGAAATCGAACTAAAGTCTTCAATAATCATGGAATCCATGAGTTCTGCTATTTCTGTAACGTTTCCCGTCTTGTTCAAAGGTTTTGTTTTTTCTTGGCGCTCAACTTTCTCAAATTTTGCTGCAATCAAACTATTTTGTGAACAAAATAGCTGTGAGTTGTTTATCGAATTGTTTCTTAGGACTCCCACGTTTTTCAAAACGAAAGTTTCAGGTTGAAGTTCATGTTTTTTCAGATTGTACTTCGTTCTTCGGTCGTTTTTCACGTCAATTGTTTCGCCTTCGTTTGACAATCTTTCCTGGTATTTCTCATCTAGACACATGACTACATTATTGGTGAGTTGACTCATGTAACGCAATAAATGGACGGCTCGCGAGTCTTTCTTCACGGATACAAAATCGGAATCGTTCTCAGAATAGAAAACTAAAAACTGTCGTCTCTTATTTTGAACTTCGATTAAATATAGTCCTGATTTTTGTTCTTTTAATTCGTGTTCTAAAACCTGCAATTTCGATTCGGAAATATATGCTTGTAGGTTTCTAAATACGGCTTCCAGAGGACCAAAAAGACCAATGCATTCAAAACTCTGTTGGTCCAAAGTTGCGAAATCGATGACCGGGGTTCCTGAAATTGACTTGAAGAAAACGGGGGTCTCGCCTCTTAAATGTTCAGGAACCGAATCGCAAATATATTTCACACCTGCTTCACACAGAGCAAACTTTTCAACCAGGAAGTTTTCCTGCATTTCGGTGTGAAATAAAATCAGCGGTGTGAATGATATTTCAGAATCCTTCTCATCAACTTCCATGCAACTCGTTTCCAAAAAGACACGAGACTCAGAAATAATTGCCTGAGAATTTGTAGGCTTTACATGTTCCGTTCGAACTTGTAAAAATTGATTTGTAGCTTCTTGTTGCGTTCTAGAGACAAATTTTTTGTGAGATGTTGTAATAACACAATTTGTTGATTTAAAAGTTTCGAACAATTCCCGAAGATCTTCTTTCAATTTCCGGGCCTGTTTCGTCGTCAAATCTTCGCAATCATGCAATGAGTCTAAAGTCTCAAATTTCGGCGCTTCTTTGAGTATCCATTTTTGAGCTGAATCATTGATGCCGTTAGAAACCAGTATTTCAGACAGATGACTCAAAAAGTCTTCTCGCGGGTCAGATCGCTTTCGTTTTTTGCCGGAATTTTGGTCTACTCCGTAGAAATCACTTAGTCGCTCTTTGAGATTTGAAATCTGGCGCTTGGTCAAATCTTCGCACCTATCAATCTCGTTGAGATCTGGTCCCGATGATTTGATTTTGGACATCCAGATTTGCAACCAATCGATTGCTTCGTCTGAAAGCAGTAGATCCTTTGTTACATGTTTCAAGATCTCCGTTTCATTCAATCGTAAAGGAACAGGGGTGGTTTTCAGCTGATAGAAAACACACTCAAGTTTTTGCTCTAAAGTTCTTATTTGCTTTCTTGTTAGTTCGTCGCACGCATTCAGACAAGTGGTTAGATCATCAAACAAAAGTATTTTTTCCAGAACTTCTTTACGAGCGTCTTCATTCAAACTCAAATTCACTAAAATTTGTTCGACTTCTTCCACGGGGTCGAAGAGTTTATTTCTTCGTTTCTTTGCACGTGACGCTGAATCTTCCGAGTTTTGGTCCAAAAACGCTCTTCGTATTTTCTCGAAAACTTCCTGTTCGACAAGTGCTTTGAGGTTCTCGGAAACTAAAAATTCTCGGAATTTATCGTTTCCTTTCGAAAAGTGAAGCAAGAACGTTGACAGCACATTTTGACGGTGCATTACTCCAGTTGAATTTAGAGTTTCTACGAGAACGGTTCTGTCAGCTGTAAAAGATAGGAACGTTTTTTGGAGTACAGACGTCAAACATCGTATTTGTTTCGGTGACAGATCTTCACAAGCTTGAAGATTGCTCAAATTATCCCACCTGTAGAAGTTGGACAAAATCCACTCGGTAGCATCTGACCCTGTTTTGTTTCGTTCTAAGCATATTTTCATCTCCTCGAACCAGTTCTGTTTTGGATAAATATGACTCCAAATACTTTGGGTTGATCTCTGTGATTCGGGAATCATTACGAAATTGGTATTGGAGTAATCAGAACCGTGCCAATCTCTTGATCCGACTTCGTCTGTCGGGATAGAACCAACAGCTTCGCCCATCGATTATTGGTAATTCTTGAAAACCTAGAAGCATTGATAGCAATAGCATATATTCGAAGCATTTACTCGAGGGGGGGATTTTCAAAAAAGTTACCAGAATTTTGGCGACCTCTTTATTAGATCGACCAAATTGATTGTCGAATTGCGCTCTCACAAATAGCGATAAAAACCGTGTTTCGACCAAATTATCTGCGTGGCAGGCAAAATTTTGCAAAAACAGGCCAAAAAAGACGTTTTTAGGCACGTTTTGGAAAATGTTGACCAAAAAATCGGGGTTTTTCGGCTCGAGCTCGCACCTTAAATTTAGTATATATTGGCGCCTTTGGAAAAATTTTAGCGTCAGTCAGCCAAAAATTGATATCTAAAAAAAGTACAAAGGTGGTATTTTCTTGCTCAGCCGGGTGTCAAATCCCTGAGGGGCGATATTGTGTGAAATTTTGTTTAAAAAATGTTGAAAAATAACCAATTCATAAAAAGGGAACCAAAATTGATATCTCATTCCTCATTCCCCCCTTTTTTAATTCCATTTTATCATGAACGGTTTTCGAGGTTGTGATTTGTTGAGACAGCCAAAAATCTTAAAAACAAAAAAGAGGGATGAAGTGAGTACGGGAAAATAATTGAAACTCTAATCATATCAGAAGAAAAAATTTTTTTGTGAGAAAATTTTAAGTTGAAGAAAGAAAGAAAAAGTTAATTAATGATGCATGACAGCACGAAATAGCAGTTCTCTTACTTGCAAGCTCTCAAGTTTTAAATCTTAAAAAAATTGGTACTTGGTACCACTTTCCTCCACATTTCAAGTTCTAAATTTTCCTATTTGTTTTAAGTGCGTGCTGATGCAATGTAAAGTACATCCAATATTGAGTTTTGGTTTATGCAAACACCGACAAAACCAAACTGTCAGAATTGGAAATTCAAATCAGAATGCTAATTACAATGTTTTTATAAGCGCAGAATGGACTTAAGCAATGAATTAATTCATGAAAATTAAATATATACAGAAAATGAACTTTTTTGCGCACAAAATTATGAATTTAACGGAAAAAATAATTAGACAAGAGTGATCCATTGACATATGTCATAACTGAACAAGAAGTTAACACAATATACAAAGAGAAAATGAAATAAAAAGTAGTTATAGAAATAAACGCAACAGTGGGTCGATTAGACCTTAAGTTCGAAAAATGTTCAAAATTGTCTTAGATTACTTTATCGCTTGAGTCAGTTGTTTGCAAGCGTCGTCTCTGATTCAATTGATTAGTTCTAGTCATAAGTTTTTGGAAAATTAGTTTTTTGAAAAAATGACTTTATTGGCATTCTCTGAGAAAAAAAAATATTTTTTTTTATGATAGAAAAGGGTTGAAAGGAAGGTATAACGAAGCGTGCGTGTAATTAATAATTACCAGTAGAACGATCCATTGGTTCTCAGAAGTAAGTAATTTATTGTTTTTTGTTCTCCGCTTAATGAGACACCTGATAACGGGCCGTACTGGCCAAATAATGTCTCCCATGCAAATCAGATTTGTGTTTGTAAGTTTTTTGAATAACTCGGTAACTAGATATCGCCTGGAAACTATTTACTACGATTATACAAGTATGGAGGAAAAATCTGTTCACAAAAGTTTTTTTGTTCACCACGCCAATTTTTAATGCAATTTGACAATTTAGTTTTTAGATTTCAAACTCCAAGTATGAGTGGAAATGAGAAAAAGCAAAACCATATATCTGAAAAGAGCGCATATTTTAAAGTTTTGAATGATTCAGAGCTGCTAAAAAGCTGTTAATCATTCAAGTCATTGTTCTCGCACACTGTTTGAAATTCCATGTACTCACCTTTGGCTGTGGCTTAGGAAACGGTATACTTGTACGGGTAGATGAATAGGTAACAAATGACTGGTTTGCAAAAAACGGTAAATAAATCACAACAAAATTTCTCAACAAGCATGTGTCGCTTTATGATTTTTTTTGTTACAATAGCTCTTCTCTTTTTCCATCTGTTTAATTTATTTATTGTACAATAAAAATCTTTTTTAGCCAAACCAAAGAATAGATAAAATTACAGGCATGTGATGAATGGAAAACATGTTTATGGGAAAAAACATAATATTATGATACAAAAAATATTATGTTTTTTTCCATAAACATGTTTTCCATTCATCACATGCCTGTAATTTTATCTATTCGAGATCAAAAAATTTGTACTACTTCGAAGAGGCAGTTTTCGGAATCATCTGATCCAAAAGACTCTAATGCCCTTTTTTCATTACTCTGCCAAAGTTCAATATTGAAAGTGTCGGAATAGTTATGCTCGGGGTGGGTTTTTTACTCGGTTAGTGTTCAGTTTTTTAGCGTGCCATCTGACAGATTTTTAACTATCTGAAAAGTTTTTAGGAAAATTTTCAGGTAAAAAATTCAGTTTTTTGAGGCCAAAAATTAAAACTAAAAAATTAAAACTTAAAAAATTAAAAAGATATATGAGAAAGTATAGAAAATTCAAAGAAAAAATTGAACTCGAAATAACAGTTTCTTTAATATTGTATCTTTTCTTAACAAGGTTTGAAAGACCACGCAATCGATTATAATTCATTACATTTCACAATTTTTCAAGAATCTTGATATCGATTATAGTCCATTCAAAATCTTTTCTAATGATTTTTAATCTGTATTATTTTGTTTCCAGTTTTCCGCCAAAGATTACAGCTTCTGAAGCTTTCTTAGCCTGCTCGATTTCTAAAACTGTTTTTTTTCTATTTCTTTGTGAAAACAAAACTCCTCATAAAATAAACCTCCTTTCCTTTCTCCAAAACCTATGCCTCGAAATTTCAAAAAAGTATCAAAAAATTTCTCGACGATGCAAAAATAGGTCAGCAAAGCGTGTTGATTTTTTAAATTTATCCCGTTTCCCAAATTTAACCTCCCCTTCGGAGTTCAGCTTAATTAGTGGAGTAGGTGGCGGTAATGGAGTACAGAGAAGGAGTGTAAAAAGTCCAAATTTTTTCTCGACGTTGAAAACAGAACAAAAGTGTCGTTTTTTATGCATTTCCTAGAACGTTTTCATGAAAAAATTGCAACGGTTAGGTCAAAACTCTGAGAGTTACATACAAGTGAGGGGCCTGTGTTGGTAAAAGTAAATATATGGCAGCAAAGGGTCAAGTGATTTCAGCATACCGGTTTTTTAGCAGACTCAAAATTGAACACTCAGACAGCTTTCTTGTTTTGTCTGATAAAAAGGATCAATATAGCAGATTTTTGAATTGAATTTTATGAATGCATATTAACAAACTTCAACAGATTTTTGAATTTTATGAATGCATATTATGAGTGCATGTGTTATTCAAAATGAAACATAGTTTGGCTAAACAACTGTTGTCTCAGCTGTGATACATTTTTGTAAGTAGTGTTTTTAGATTTGCTGCGGGGACCGATCGTTTAGCAAACCAACCTTTTAGCATAAAAACTAAAATATGTAGCTTTTAGCAGACTTTGATTGACAAGCAATTAGCTGAGACTGAGGCACCAGTAATTTCTCGGGTTGAGTATCATTATTTGGCGCTTTGTAAACAAATCTTGAACTCATTTTTAGCAAGTTTCAAATTGTTTCTCAGTTCATTCTCAATGAATTTCTCAAAAGTTCAACGCAAAAACCGAGGGGAAAAACTAAAGTGATGTGATTTTCTTTAAAAAAAAAACGAAAAAAAGTGTTTATTCAATATTACAAATGTATCGACAATAATTGTGGATCCAGACTTTCTATTGATTTACAGAAAATTCTTATTATAAATTTACCTTCTAACCATAATCATTTACCGCCCCAAGATGAAATAGCTTATCAAAAATTTCGAGAAAAACTCAAAAAAAACTTGAAACAGACCCTACTTCGAACTTGAAAAATCTTATTGAAACGAATTGCAAGATTTTTCCAAGGAATTGCAGAACGAAGACGAAAAAGAAAATTTTCTGCCTCCGAGTTACGAAAAAACCCGCCGATTTATTACCAGAAAACGAAATAAAGTTTGGCCAAAAAATCCAAAAAATTTCTCGGATATCAAAATTGATCCGTCATGGTCTATGACATTGAGCAAGAAACGATTCTTGTTATATCAAGAAAATAAAATTTTGATTTTTGCGATGGATTTTGGCCTAAAATTTTTGGCATTTTTAAAAAATTTTCTCGCTGATGGAACTGTTAAAATGGCTCCACCTCCATTTTTATCAGATTTACACTATATTTGTGTACTCGAAAGAATGGAAAATTCCTGTTGTTAGGGCCTTACTCGGCGAAAAAACTGAGGAAATACATCAAAAAAATTTTGTCATTTTGCGCCAAAAAATTCAAGAAATTTCGGGAATTTCTTTCATGCCCGAAAATATTATCACAGACTACGAGACGGGTTTCATACAAGCTAATCGAAAAATTTTCTTCGTCTCGTAAAATTCTGGTTGTTGGTTTCTCTATTCCCAGTGCATTTTGCCAAAAATTCAGGAATTTGGGTTATATACTTTTTATATGCACGATCAAAAAATTCAAGAAATTTTCCAAATTTTTTTTAGTTTGCCTTTCCTGCCACTTGGCGAACTCACTATGATGCTAGCAACTTATCAAGGAGAAGTTCAAGACATTAGAATGCTGGCTGGAACAAAACTGTAAGAACTTTTAGATCAAATTATTGGAAAGTTTTGAAAAAATTATCGTATGAGGAATTGCAAGAATTGGAATGCTGGCTGGAACAAAACTCTAAGAACTTTTATACCAAATTTTTGGGAAGTTTTGAAAAAACTATCGTATGAGGAATTGCAGTCTCGTCTACGATTTGTTAACCGAGGGGAATGCCCTCCCTCAAAAAAAAACAGAAAGTTTCGAGACCTGGATGGGGCAGTTCAACAGTGCCGAAGTACAACAGTGCCAAAAAAAATTAGTTCAACAGTGCCAAAAATTAGAGCAAATTTCAACATATTGAGTGCGGCAATCAAAAATCAAACGGCGGTCGCTTACAATCTTAAGTGACACTCTAGAATTTTGA